TTAATTTATATTTAATTGTGTTGTGGTTTGCAGTGTTTTGTGTTGTTTCACTTTAAATTTGTTTAAAGGAAAAAGCTGAAAATTTAAATAGTTAAAAGTTGAAATGGAATAGTTGTTTTGTATTATATGATTTATTTATTACATTTTATGTGGTGAATAAATAAAAGTATATTTACGGTGGCCCCTACAGACAAAGCACTACAAACTCCAAAACACGTACAAACTCAGAAGCACATAAAAACTCAAACACGTACAAAAGACAACAGAAGTGCTCCAGGATGCTAGGGCAGTGTTGAGTTTTTGTTACCTAGTGGCTACACAAGCCAGGAAGTACCAACTATCGGATTGGGTGTGTGGTAGTAACAGGTAAATGAACTTTTTTTAAGTTATTTGAATATATTATGATCTCTCTTACTTTGTAAATAAGGTGATGGACTTGAGATCCAAAATCTCCTCAAGTGCCTCCCCTTATGAAGATGCCCCTTGTTGTCCCGGGTCATTTACTTCTTTTTCTCCAATCACACTCAATGACTTAATTGCAGTAATAGGTAAAATGAAATCCTCATCATGCTCCTTAGATATATTACCTCCCTCTGTCCTGTCTGGGACTCTCACCAGCATTGGTCCCACACTATCCATCATCAACAATTCACTGAGGCAAGGCTGTGTTCCGTCCTATTTTAAACATGCTGAGGTAACCCCTCTGTTAAAAAAACAGAATCTAGATCCTACCTCCCCTAGTAGTTATCGTCCTATTTCAAGATTGCCATTTATAAGTAAATTACTAGAAAAAATTGTAGAAAATCAGTTCAGGTCCTTACTATGCCGATTGCAGATTTTTGACCCTTTTCAGTCTGGCTTTCAAAAGCAGCACTCTATGGAGACCGCTCTCTTAAGGGTCTATAATAATCTACTAATGGCATCTGATGCAGGAAATTGTTCCGTGATCATTTTTGCTAGATCTTAGCGCAGCCTTCGATACCATCGACCACAAAATCCTACTCAACAGGCTGAAGGTTCTGGCTGGTATATCTGGCACCGCCTTAGACTGGTTTTCTTCCTACTTATCAGACAGGACCTTTTCTGTTAGGACTGATAGGTTCTCTAACACTGCTGCCCTAACCTACGGGGTTCCACAGGGTTCAGTATTGGGTCCATTATTATTTTCTTTTTATATGCTTCCTTTAGCTAGCATTATTTAGTCTTTTAGTGACCTGTCTTATCATTTCTATGCCGATGACATTCAGCTGTATATGTCCTGGATGTCAGCTGGATAGGCTGTCCACCCTAGTCCAGGCTTTAACTCAAATCTCTGATTGGCTTTCTTACAATTACCTTGCTTTAAACATGAACAAGACAGAGACCATGATCATTGCTCCTCCTGATCTATATTCTAAAATCAGTCAGGTTCTTGCCCCTTTCTGTTCTTCTGCTAAGCCAAATATTCAAAATCTTGGAGTAATATTTGACTCTTTGGGCCTTGACTCACACGTAAAATCTCTGTCTCGTTCCTGTTTCTTTCATTTAAGGAATATTTCTAAATTGCGACATGTGGTCTCCTTAGCTGAACTGGAAAAAATTGTCCATGCATTTGTGTCATCGCGTTTAGATTATTGTAATTCCCTGTTTACCAGCTTGGATAAATCATCTCTTTCTCGCCTCCAAGCTATACAACACGCAGCAGCCAGACTACTAACTAGCTCACATCACTCCTATTTTATGTTCTTTACATTGGCTCCCGATAGATTTTAGAATTCATTTTAAAATTATTGTTTTAACGTACAGAGCACTAAATGGCCAAGCCCCAGATTATTTATCCAAGCTTCTCACTCGCCGTCTCCGTTCACAGACTCAGAGTTTGTTGGTTGCTCCCAGAACACGTCTGAAGACGAAAGGGGGCGGAGCCTTTCAGTCTGTGGCACCAAGGCTGTGGAACAGTCTACCTCTACAACTACGTTTGGTTGACTCTGTGGAATCCTTTAAAAAACAGTTAAAAACTTTACTGTTTAAACAATCTTTTTGTTGACCAATGCGTTTTACATTTTTATATTTTTAATTTACATTTAAACTCTATATTGTGTATACTGTGCATTTTGCTATTTATCGTACTGTTTATTTTAATCTCTGTGTGCAGCGCTTTGTGACTACCTGTCTATGAAAAGCGCTTAATAAATAAACTTTACTTACTTTACTTACTTACTAAACACAGACTAAAAGTAGAATTTTTTTATTTAACTGAATGTAAGATCCAATCACTTCTCTCATACTGTAACTTTGTGTGGTACACATTGCATTGACATTTAATTTCTATTCCTATTATGCATTTGCAAGAAATGCAAGTAGACATGACCTGTTTTAACAGTACATGTCTACTTGCATCAGAAAAACATACCATAAGTAATAACTTTCACATCTACCTGTTGTGTAGACACTGACTTGCCCGCCTCGAGCTGGAGCTAATATAAGAGTGAGGTACACACAAAAGCAAACATGCTATATACCTGTATAAAAGGAACAGCCAGAGCAAATACAGTGTGTTGTACTGGAAATATAATAATACTTCTATTGTGTTTTCTACTATACATACATAATAAGGAACTGCTGGTGATTAAGGTATCTAGCAAGTTACATATTTCAACCATCTGTTTAATAATGCAGCGCAACATCTGCGAATGCTGAGTGCATGACGGGGCTGATGTTGTTTTCGCACACCTTTATATGACTGTTTGAGGATACCTAATTCCAAGACCTGGTATTAGATTTGATGTTTTTTTGGGTTAACTACTGACTGAAAATGGCTAATGGTAGGATAGGGGGGCTGGGGATTCAATATGCCAATGAATGTTCTCACAAGGATGCACAGTTTAACCAACCACTTGTGTGTGTGCGTGTGTCTGTGCAAGAGAGTGGGAGATGGGTCAAGGGTGGTCTGACTCATCAAAAGCATAGGGCCTTGGACTTTATGCCATTGGCACACTCTTGTTAATATTCATAACACTGCATTTGAGCCATCTTTATCAGTGTTTCATTTTATGAACCTTTTAATGTCAAATGAGTCAAAAAAAAATTCTCCAGAGGAATCAAAATAAATACATACACAATACATTTTTAAGTAATAAATTGCACAAAAATGTTGGATATAGCAAAAAAAAAATGATAAAAATGTACATGTGCAAATTTGTATTTAATTTATTTCTTTAATTTTAAAGAAAATATAAACATATATAAGCACCCCAGTGTCAAAAACTTTGGCTTTTCTGTCAGTTATTTCATGGTTCAGGCTTTACAGGGTTAAAATGTTCAAAGATAAGTATGGTGGCTCATTGATGCAATGACTGGTGCAATCTCACTGTAAGACGGTCTCAAGTTTTGAAACCCACAGCTCTCAATTAAGGTCAGTAAGGGAATATGATTTTGATTTACTACAGGAAAAAAAAAATACCCCAGTGGTTTGAAACCTGATATCACGTTACTGTTCAAATCATGAATGCGAAAGTCAACAAATGTTCACTCTTGCATGTCTTTCAAGGTTTGATCAAGCCATGTACAAATCATGCTGATGTTTTGAGTTACTCGTTTTACCATGTAGTAGCAGGTCTGTAGTAGAAAGTTTATTTCCATCCATCCATCCAAAAATGTTGCTGTCACATTATTTATATAGGAATACAATCACAACACAACCAGTTGACAACTAGTTGAGTTGAGAGCCCAACTGCAAAGAGACACAGTGACGGATTTTCCGAGTTAGAAGAAGAGTCCTGTTTATACTCTAGTCTCACTGAGCCATTAAGCAAACGCATATATTTTCTATACATAGTGTATAACATGAATATGTTTGTTGTGAGAAAGATAGTTGCAGTTTAGTTCATTCTTTAAGTGTGTTTTGGATTAAATAGACCAGAATCTTCATGTATTATTCCTTATTGCTTTCAGAAAAACAGCATGAAAGCACCCTCCACACCGTGCATTCAAACGATCTGATTCATGTCTTTGGTTTGGTGGCTGTTAGCTGACAATAACTGCACCATAATTAGTAGGCCAGATGTGTTTGTGCTTTCCAAGCTTCCTATTAGATATTCAAAAACAAATGATCGCCTGCACGACCATAACTATGAAAGCAGATTCTGATCTGCTTCCTCAAGGGTCCTGGAGGTCCAGCCATGATTCAGCTTTAATTCTGTGACCTTGAGTAGCCATCCAGCTTTGGGTTATGTCAAAGCTGTAAACCCACAGAATTATGCTTACAAGTCTACGAGAAGTTTTCAGTAGCACTGGTCATTAGGGATGGGTATTAATTTTCACCATTCCGATTCCATTTTCGATTCTGTTTAACGATTCGATTATTTATCGATTCTCTTATCGATTCTTATTTTTAAAAAAGGAGAACCCACAGGTCGATTAGCTTTGAACTTTGTTTTATATCTTATCTTTGAACAGACAGAAATGTAGGAGTAACATGGCCTTACAAACCCAACAGTGAGATCTTAAGAGATCCACAGCCTACTGCTCCTCGATGCCACGAGGACCCCAGACAAAAAAAAGTAAATGTAAACTAATAATAAAATAAATATTCTGTTGTAGCAATAACAAAGTATAACATAAATTATTCAGTGGCAATTACACAAGAATGTCCAGCAACATTTACACTCTCCTTTTTAAAAGTATATATGAGCTGGGCACTCAACAATAAAACTATATCAGCCAGCAAAAAATACAATCGACTCAAGTCCAATGGAACTGTGCACTGTGCAATTCTGCATCCATCAACTATGGAGAATAAAAATATAAGCATATCTGCTTTTTCAGGAAGGATACGTGATCTTTCTGGACTTATGGTCTCTCCAGCTGTGGAGAACACCCTCTCAGACAGGGTGGAGGATGCCTGCACACACAGAAACCTTTCAGCCAGTGCTGACAGCAGGGGCAGAGTCTCTCTCTTGCTCCATCACCATAGGGCGGCGTTATCCTTGCAGGGGATGGGGGTTAGGCTTCTATACAGCTGGATCTCCTGATCCACTCTGTGGCCCAGGGAAAGAACGGGCTGCCGTTGTTGGAATGACTGCAGCTCGTTGTCCTCTTCTTCAAAGAATTCCTCCAAGGCCGTTTTTCTTTGCTTTACTGGTGGCGCCTGAAATTAAATGGACATGATAAAAAAATAAGCAAAAAATGAACAATCAATGACATTTAAATTATCATCACAATGAACTAAACTTACATAGTCTTCTTCATCCTCATCTTCGAACAGCTCTCCCTGTCTGTCTCCTTGCTTCAGGTGCTTGAGTAGAAAGTGACAAATAAACAAGCAAATCAAACTAAGTACCACAGATCCATAGATGAAAGGTCTCACTCTCACAAAGGAAATGTGCAACAATGAAAAACACTGTCATATTGAAATACCTCATCTGCTCCTGCCTCTGCCTTTGCTGCTTCCCTGATCCTGTGCCAGACTTCATCCTTCTCCACTTTGGATTTAAATCGGGGGTCCAAGATGGTGGCCTCCTCCAGGAAGCTCTTGATATCAGCGTCCTTAAATTTTTAAGAGGGAGGAAAATGTGACATCATGACTGTCATTTTATTTATGATAAATAAATCATCAATTGTACCTGGTATCGTTTGGAAAGATCTTTCCAAATGTTCTCCTTTATGCTCCTTGTGAAGGCAGAGTCATCTTCTTGTACGGTGTAGTGTTACTGTAGCTTTTGCAGGATGGGCAAAATCTCACCACAGGTCGGACTTTTGTCACTGGACACTGCTAGTGTGGAGGTGTAGTGCTTCCGCATGAGTACCACAAACTCCTCTGCTTTTCTTAAGTCATCATTGCCCATTTTAGCCAGTCTGCAAAATCAACAAAACAAAAATACAACAGATATGTTGCATAAAACAAACAAAAATAAAACCTGAGTCCAAGTTAAGCTATATTATCATTATTTTTCAATACTACTCACCTTTCCTTTTCCATGGACTTTCTTATTCGTGGATCGATGGCTGCAGCCTGGATGGCAGGAAACTACTCGCAGAATCTCTCCATCATCAAATACAAAGAGTTCCATCTGGTCTTTACATCTAGGAGCAGCATATGCTTGGGCAGCTCTGAGGGGTAACGTGTTCACAACTTAAATGCTAATGTAATATTCCTTATCTTAGTTTATAAATTTAATTTGATCATGATCTAATGATTATAATATACACAATCTTAAAAAACTATTACTATGCTTACTGAGCAACTCTTGATTCTCCTTCAGGACCACTTTTGTCATGTGGGACCTCTTCATCCTTAAACTTTAACATTTCCTGACTTAGCCTACAATTAAACATTCACTTACCGAAACTCGGGGGCATCTACTGTGGCAAAAGGGTGCAAGCCTTTTACAACAAACTTAGTCACTGCTCGGTGACATTCGTCTATCCTGGCCTGTGTCATTTTACTTTTCCCTGCCTCTGTGAAAGGAAAAGCCACCTGTAGACTGCAGCGAGAACTGCCAGCATCTGAGCCAGACAGACTCTCTCGTCATGGTCATCTAAATGCAGCGCACAGTAATGGCAGGTTTTGTAATAAGGCAAAACGTGCTAACATAATATGCAATGCTAGTTGATTAGTTACCTGCAGTATTAACGGGAGAGGACGTGCAAACGCTACCGCTGCTGCTGGGTTGAGCTTTGCTAGTCCGGAGCGGATCAAAAACACGACATTCATTTAAAGCAATCACGTGTTTTTTGAGCAAATGCTTTTGCATATTCGTAGTGTTTCCTCTCTTTGATGAAATCTCTACTTTGCAAGTATTGCACGTTGCCCTGTTGTCATCCTTTCTCATAAAGGGTAACCAAACTTTTGAGCGTTTGTGCCGCTTAGGCGCCGTGTTTCCTACTGAGTAAAAGACGCTACGCAACGTGGTGACGTCATTCGAGGCGTCTGGAAGCGATAAGGGAATCGTTTGTAAAAATGGCAAACAATTCCAAGGAATTGAAACAGTGGGAACCGGTTCTCAACAAGAACCGGTTTTCGATACCCATCCCTACGGGTCATCCTTATATTGCTTGGTGTGCCTGAAATCTAGAAATTGTTAAAAGCTGTCGGTAACTAATATTCTGTGATTGGTCTTATTTAAAATGACGTTTTTTGTTTTTTTTTGTTGGTGTGGAAATGGCCTCATCATGGACATAAATGGAATGGAGCGGAGTTCACAATGTCATTATAGTAGAAAATACATGTAGGTCATCATAGCTGAAGCAAATAGCAAACAGGTATCAGCTGCTCAATTGTTGAGTTTAATAACGACTGAAGTAAAAACAGGTTTTCCATCCCTCTGTAGAGCTTCAGGCTTGCTGAATCAATGCAATGATCTATGTTTTCTCAGCATGTGGTGACATGTCAAAACCTTTGTTTTTATTAAACATGAGTGAACGCTAAACTTCATTTGGTTAATTCATATCAAAACTTACTGTTATGTTGGTAATGTTATAAAAGATTGAAGCTAATGTGATAGCCAACATTTTATGTATTATAAGACTGGAACATGTTATCTGGAATTCCACAATCATTTAAGTATTGGATTCAGACTGCTATTATGACAAGATGGCAAATGATTCTCAGGAACTGGAAGGCGCAGAGAGAGCCTCCTTATCAATACTGGGTGATTGAATTCTAGTGATGGGTCGTTCACGAACGAAATGGCTCTTAGAGCCGACTCTTTGACGTGAACGACGCGAGCCGGCTCCTTATTGCGAGCCGATAAGGAGCTTCTTTTTTTCCGCTTCACTCCGCATGCGAGCCTTGTGCTTTATGCTGGGCAGAGGGGGGAGGGGCGGTAGTTACACTCAGTAGCACA